ATCCAAGAAAGTGAAGTCGATGGTATAATTAAACTCTTAAAGCGTAGAAAAGCTAGTGGCCATGACAAAATTCAACACGAACATCTGTTGTATGGTGGAAATACTTTAGTTCGATGCTTAACATCGTTATTCAATCTAGTTGTGAGTAAAGGTCGTATCCCTAATGGCTGGAAACTAGGTCTTCTTGTTCCATTATTTAAAGGCAACAATAAACCTAAGACTTCACCGGACAGTTACCGACCAATCACCTTACTTTCATGTGTACTCAAAGTGTTTGAGCATGTTATTAAGTCAAGATTGTTGTTATATGTCTTTGATGAAAGTGTCTTTCCGAACCCTCAGCAGCAAGTTTTTCAGAAATATCTCGGATGTCTTACTGCATCCTTTAATTTACATGAAACTATATTTCATAATATTGAATTATTTAGTAAAATTTTTGTAGCATTCCTGGATAGCAGGAAAGCATTTGATACGGTATGGAGGCTAGGTTTAATGTACAAACTGTTTAAACTTGGTGTAAATGGCAAGCTATGGTTAATAATTAATGACTGCCATTATAATACGAAAAGTGCAGTTGTTGTCAATCAATGTCAATCAGATTTTTTCTCTGTATTAGAAGGTGTACGACAAGGAGGTGTGCTCTCAGGTTTATTGTATTTAGTATTTATAAATGATTTAATTTGTGATCTGGAAAAATTTAATCCAAATACAGGTATTTTCAATATCAATTGTTGTGCACCAGCTCTTGCAGATGACATATCATGTATTGCCACATCTCCAGTAGCCTTACAACGTATGCTTAATGTGTGTAACCAATATTCAAAGACATGGCGTTTTCGTTTTAATGCAAATAAGTCGTGTATTATTCAATTTTCTGTAAATTCAAGAGAGATCAATGTCAATTTTCCATGGTTAATTGGTAATGAACGTATCCCGATAGCAAATAACTATCTGCACTTAGGTATAGAACTAAACTCTCGATTTAAATCAAATCAAAGAACTGAAAGTTCATGCAGAAAAGGCAGAAACGCATAATTTGCGTTGAATGGTATAAAGACAAACGCAACGAATCCGTGTGTATTACTCAAACTATATAAAACTGTGATACTACCCAGTGTTTTATACGGGTGTGAGACGTGGAATAACATGAAATCTTATGACAAAGCTACTTTAAACCGGTTTCAACATTTTATAGTGAAACATATTCTCAACTTGAAAACGTCGACTCGATCTGATATGTGCGAAAGTATTCTTGGTATTCATCCAATAACAGGATATATTGACAAAAGAAAACTCATATTCCTACAAAAACTGTGTATCTTAGACATTTCCTCTCTTTCTAAGAGAATATTTCTCACCAGATTGTTTACTTTCTTTGTAGACTCTTAAAGGAAACACTACGGATTTATTCCTGATATCGTTGACATTTTAAAACAGTATGGACTTATTAGTTACCTTCTTGACTATATTGAAGAGGGAACATTCCCATCAAAACAAATTTGGAAGTCTATCGTTTATAGCGCAGTTGATAGTATACAGTTAAACAATTGGTTAAACCGTGTTAATTCTGATGACAATTTCACACGTTTCAGGAATATTCACACGTCAGTGACTATTACGGAATTTTGGAAATACTCAAATTCTTTTAAGGAGATTAAAAATTCCTTTTTAATCACTAAATTACTAACTGAAATACCAAATACAACAAGTAATACATGTGATATATGTACAATGAATTTTAAAGATGTTTATGTACACGCGTGTTGCAATTGCCCAAGTACTAATGCACAGCGCGAAGTCTGGTGGGACATTTTAGTTGACAATTTTCCAGTGCAGCTTTACTGTGAATTAAGCATGTATGACGACGAAATCCTGTTTCAAATGTTACTCGGTCGAAAACCACTGACAATTTTTTCAAACATAGATGAATCGGTTCAGTTTCTCAAGCTGTGTCATGCACATGTTATCCAGTGTGTAGCAGAATATAGTCGATCTCTTAGACAGTGTTATTAGATGTGCCAATACATGATGTGTCACTGCATCAGTATTTTAAATATTGCTTGTATAAACACTCATTTATCTTTTGTGTATTTACTTTATATTTTGCTCTTATACTAATATTTTGTGTGTATTATGACGTTTACTTATATTCATTAATTATATGTTCATTGAATCTCATTTATGAGGAATTAAAGATATGAAAGGAATGAATGAAAATATAAACTAATTATTTCGCATGAATATCTTAAACAGTAAAGCCAAATCATATCGTTTTAATTTATTTATCAAGACATCTCAATGTCAATGCGCAACAGTTAAGATTAAACCGTATCAATTCCCCAAACCGACAATTGTGAATACGTATTTGGATGACCTGTTCTAACACACAGGTAATGATATGAGTTTATTAGTATTAGCAATCTAAAAAGTCATCACACGATAAAACTTCGTACTTAAACTATATCAGCACATTTGATGATTCTCAAACAAACAAACTGCCATATAAAAAACTTGAATTTTAATTCATGTATTGATCATCATGTGTTCTTTAATTATCTTCATTAATAAATTTATTTACATAGTCCATGCAGCCGGCACTTAAAACGTTAATTCTTCAATTGTTCAGGTTTCCAGGTTCATGTTTTTCGTATCAACTTTGAAACGTATTGTTTTGACATCTTTCACATGCAGTGTGGCTAATTTTAGTTTATTCGTTAATTTTCGTTTCAAAAACAAGATGAATGTGATTTCCTATTCTACACACCCATAAAAGCACTAACTATTCCAAGTTTCTTGTAATTGAAATCTAATATATCTGTCATGTGCACTGTACTGGTGTTAAATCTTAACATATTCTAAACGTATGAAACTTATTAATTGCCAGTGACAATGTAAAAATAGGAAGATGCAGTATAACTGCCAATGAGACAACTCCCCACCAGATACCAAATGACATAGAGGTTAACAACTATAGGTCATCGTACGGCCTTCAACAATGCGCAAAACCCATACCACATAGTCAGCTATGAAAGACCCGAACTGACAAATATAAATCATTTACCATCTGATTTTAATAAATAATGAAAGCAAAACTGAAAAACAAAGTTCATCCAGAAAAAAAAATATTGCTGAGTTACACAAAATGAAACTGTATTCGATGAATATGTGATGATAGATTTAATATCGACAGGGCAACGTCATCAGTATTGCACAAGCTGATTTATCCGTATAAGGGTTGATTTGCTCATATCATTTAATAACGTTTAATATTAACTTTTTGCGCTGTATAAAGTCATCATCACTAGAACACATTCAACAGATAGTATACGTACTAGTTGTAAAATATACTAGCAGCAAGAAAAGAAAGCAAGTTTGTTATGGTAAACATAAAATCTTCTAATTCGTCGTAAATTTCATTTTCGATTTAAAAATCTCTTCTAATTCATTAGACAGCGTCACATCTATAGCTTTTAGCACATTCCAATTTTTGGAGCCATGGCGAAAAAAGACAAAAGACCAACAGACAAAGAATAGTACACAAAACAAGACTGAGCAACACAGACCCCACCAAAAACTTGTGGGTGATCTCATGGATACCCGTGAGGTAAGTAGATCCTGCTCCACATGTGGCACCCATCATGTTGCTCATGTCAGTACTATTTTGCTAGTACAATTTATGCAAGCATTCAGCTTGTGTGAAAGTTGCAAACCATTTAATTGTAAATAAGGTTCTATAGCGTGTACTTTGCATTATAAAGTTTGGAAAGTGTACGATATGATCTATATATTGCCAAAGGTTAGAACAATACAGTATTATCATTTATTTAAACGTGTAGTTCTATTACATTTTGAACATATTCAAACAAAAACTGTGCTATTCAAATAAGAGTTGCAAATCCCTCCTACAGAGCTTTGTTGTTAGGTAATGTTTTTCTGGTCTTGATTCTTCCAAACGTTTATATACAAATGAGATATGAAGTATACGTTAATGATACAATATTAAATACACAAACAACCAAAAGACATTGGTTTTTGTCGTTCCATAGGTCTTGACACGGGGAAATTAATTCCCAAAAACACATGCATGTGTGCCTTCCGTATTAATTGATTTTAAATGAATACATGCTGTTTGGTGTGAGCCAAGGCTCCGTGTTGAAGGCCGTGTAATAGTTTACTTTTACAAATTGTGACTTTGATGGAAAGTGGTCTCATTGGCACTCATACCACATCTTCCTATATTTATGTCTACACCCTGGTCATGTCGCTGTTGATTTGTAGTCAGAGCTAAACATATGTCCAATATCCAGTTGTTCCACAAAATGGCTGTTTTGGCCGTTGTGTAAAGTTCATCGACTGCTGAATAGATATCTAGAAGTTTTGCGATTATCGGTATTATTCACAAGTTATTTGGAATTTTACAGCCTCTTAACCAGAACGAACACGCATAGTTTAAGCCAATTGCCAAATAAAGATATCAATTGTAATTAACCATACAAACCACCGACAACCTACGACTCTGAAAACAGACACAGACATATACTACCAGCAGGGTGTTTTCCCACTTGAAAAATAGAATAAAAGACAGCACATGAATAAAAAACCAGCAACAACATATACTCGGTACTACAGGAAACAAGCCGCTTAAGCTTAGTAAACAAAACTGTAGCAAAGAAAAAATGAGTCAGACTTCTAACAGGTGTCATATGTTCATGTCAAATTGTGAATATTATTTAAACATGAATTTATTACATATACCACTAGCAGTAACAAGTTTTAAAAATCTCGACATCAAATTAAATTCAAATCTGTAAGTATTTTTGAGAGGCCGGTAAATATTCAAAGTATAAGATTATCGAAAAAGAACGAATATTGATTTGACTAGTAATGCGTAAACTATTTCTATCTCTTAAATCAATTCCCCAAATGAAGTATGTTTGTATAATACATAAAACATGTTAGGAACTTTGAATGTAATAATTTAAAACTTAGTGAAAATTCGAGTGGATGCATCATTGCCATTTGATATTAAGTCTTGAAATATGTATTACATTTCGATAGTTAAATTATGCAAAGTTCTAGTGATATATTAAGTAATATTTAAAGTACGGAAACAGGTGATTACTGAATACTAATATATCGGAAGAAACAGTTAATGGTAATTCATCAGTGCGATGACATTGTAAAAAATATGCGAAATTAAATTTTCTCAAGAATGAACATCAATATTATCTGGACAACATTTATCTTGCAGTTTTTCATATTGATTCAAGCATTAACGCATAATTATGTTGAAGAAGACATGCAATCATTATTCAATAGAACTGATTTGAGATGTCCAATGAAATGTAACAACGGACCGTCAATATTTCAGATGTCTTGCTGTATATGTCAATCAAAATCGGATGTTAAAAATCTGGGACATTTAACAATAGTAAACAAAAGAAACCATTATGATCCAAAAATTGTGAATAATGGAGGTAAACATGAACTTTATGTGCTGAATCATCGATATGGTAATCTTGAATTTCTGCCTGGGAATACCTGTAATTTTAAAGAACTGTTTATAATTGATTTGTCTTTCAACAAGATAAAGACTTTCGATACAATTTCGTGCTTGACAAACTTAGATACTCTGCTGCTTCGTGGCAACAATATTCAGTACATGAATAATAACACGTTCGTGAATATGAGGTTCCTTCGTATAATTGATTTATCATTGAATAAAATCAGTTTAATGGATCCAGGTTTTCTGCTTAATATGAAGGGAAGTTTATTTTATCTCAACGTATCTTTTAACATGATGTCCACTTTAGATATTACAAATGCAATCGCATCAAAACAGAAATATTTTTGTCGGGTAGATTATTCCCATAATTCAATAAAATCACTAACAAATGACCAGACATGGAAATTAAAAAGGAATACCACACTTGGTCACGGAGGAATGGTAAATCTGTCAAATAATTCACTTACATCGTTTTTTGATCTGGATACGTTGCATTTTCTCGGATTTGAACGCCTTCTCCTAATTGGAAAACTTATATACTATGGATTTGACTTACGAGATAATAAATGGAACTGCGATTGCAAAATCTATCAATTTGCCAAAGCAGCAGAACCACTTGCGCAGGTCATGACAAGGGGTTACTTTGACGTTAAATGTTATGCCCCGGGAACATATAAAAATAAATCAATTTTCACAATTATAAAGGACCGACAATATGATGGTTTAATTTGTAATTTGTCGTTAGCAGACAAATGTCCGCCGAAATGTCGCTGTATGTATCAACCAGCTGTCAGAAATAGGACTCTCATTGATTGTTCAGAGTTGCATCTCACAAAGCTTCCACGCATGCTCCCTGATTATAATGTCTTAGAGGTTGATTTATCAAATAACAGCCTACGAAATCTGCCACTTCAGTTCAGACACATGCATAAACATGGTCGAAATATTAAACACTACCTCGAGCGTATTCGATTATTCAATTTTTCAAACAACCAAGTTCGAATGTTACCCCGCTCAAACTTGTTTCGCTTAAGGAAAGCAGAAATCGATTTTAGGGAAAACAATATTAATTCATTACACAGATCTATTGCGGAATTAAACCCTTGCAACATTTATCTAGACACTATAGAGATGCAATGTAAGTGTAATGATATTTGGTTGCAACAATGGCTTCCAAGAAGTGATTCTAAATGTCACAAAAATGTACAAGTTTTGTGTCGGTTTAAGGAACAATTAATTTCCATAAAGTATATGACAAGGAAAGACCTTGGATGTAGAATACCGGATACTAATTTCATATGGATAAGTTCAATTATCGTTGCGGCGTTCATTATTGTCGTTTTACTATCAGCAATCATATTTTCGTTTCGATTCGAGATATTTATAATTGGACGGAAATTTGTAAAATATTTTAAGGGAACTTCTTATCCTTTGACATTGTTTTACGACGTATATATTGCCTGCAATGAAGAAGATGAAAAAATTCGTCTGTGGCTGACGACGCATTTACTGCCTTCTCTAGAGGTGAACCACATGTTTAGGGTGTTTTGGCCCTGCAGAGATAGTGAAATAGGAGTACCTCGCGAAGAGGAAATGATACATGTGATGTCACATACTCAAACATTTATCATCGTTTTGAGTGAAGAGTACAAGGGAACTATTCGTTGGAACGAGAAAGAATGGAAACATGCCTGGCACAATTATACACGTGATATGAACAGGGAAATTATTATTATTAATTACGACCTACTGGAGGCAAATGAAATCGCAAAGCGATATCTGGGAGCTTTTCTACGAATTGGACAATTTATTGACTTTTCTAATCACAAGAAGTCGATAGAGGATGAAATAGCTTCCTTACTTACAAAACAAGATAAAAATTTAAAGAAATACGATAGAAAAAACTTTTCTCATTCTCAAATAGATGATGAAAAATTCCCATTTCTGAAACAATATGCTTTATATTCAGAGTTTCGATGTAAGTAATTGCAGATATTAATGAGATATTGTATCATTTTTCCTTAACGTATTAAATGCTATGTATAAATAGTTAAAACACTTTTACTGAAAGTTATTTCTCCCATTCTATGTCAGCAGAAATAGAATTTTTTTTGTGGTATGCTTTCATTAAACTTTTCAAATGACAAATAGGTTCAGTGTACCAGGAAGACTTCCTGGTCTATTTTTAAAATCATAACTACTGCACAAAAGTTTAAATTGTATATATTGAGGGATTATATTGCATCTAGAATGTGAACATTTGAAATAATGACATTCATTGCAATTTATGAGTAGTTTTAAAATCAGTTATATAACAATATTGTAAATGAGGCCCTTAATGGATGTACCATGGTTTCATACATTTTTGTATTGATTGTTGAAATTTGTAAATAAACTCATCATAGATACCAGGATTAAAATAGTGTACGCCAGACGCGCGTTTCTTCTACAAAAGATTCACCAGTGACGCTTGAATCAAACAAAGTTAAAAAGGTCAAATAAAGTACGGAATTGAAGAGTAATAAAGACTTGCAATTCTAAAATGTTTTAACAAAAACATTTAAGGTTATCTACACAGTTGTATTTGGAGTTTTATAATGAAGAAACTATGTATTGCCATAGACATAATGAAATATAAAACGCCATTTTACTCTATCATTATTTGCTTAATCTTTTTACAAAAAAGATAGCCTGGAGATAACAAAGGGGTACTAGTTTTCAAACTCATAAATCTAATACAAAAAAGGTAAGCTGATCCTGCTCCCCATTTAAAACACATCGTAATTCACATAAGTTCGAATTATATAATTTTGAATGCCTTTTAACCTTCGATTCATATTTTGATATTTAATCAGTAAATTTCCAATGAAAAAGAGAAAAGAAATTAAGAGTCAGAAGCCATAGTAGTTAAAAGTCTGAAATTACGTAGTCAAATGCTAGTTACGAAAAAGTCAAAAATCCTATTGACTATCTTCTTAAATGAATATGGCAAATATACAATTTAAAGAATTTCTTCTCAAAGATGAAGTTGTTTAAATAATCTTTATACAATTCCGTCCTCATTTTCCTCGAATGGGATCTACCGAATTAGACTTATCATCGGATTTGTACGTACATAAGAAACACGACGAGTGCCACATTTAAAGCAGGATCTGCTTACCCTTATGGAACGCCTGAGAACACCCCCGGGTTTCGATTGAGTTTGTGTTGCTTAGTCTTTAGTTTTCTTTGTTGTGTTTTGTCTCTTTTTTGTCCTCTTTAGTTTTTACCGACCGTATGAGACCCTCATGGGTAGTCAAAGTTTTTAAAACCTCCCTCGTCGTCGTTATTTGCCATAGCAGTTTCAGTTTGTGAGTTTGAATATCCCTTTGGTATCTTTCGCCTCTCTTTAACTTTAGTGGATAACTTCTTTGAGGTCAACACTATCTCGTACTTTGTATGAACATACATTGTCATATGATTTAAGATTCAGACAAATTATACAATATGTAAAACCAATTAAACGGCAATTTCACAATTTCACCAGAGTGAGGTGGTGAATGTAGGGATATTGTATAATCATGGCTATTGATATCAAATAAAAGACGAATATAATATCTTAAGTTATAAGACAAAGAAAATATGTCACGCGAGTCGAAACATAGACGCATCTTATTTGTGATGGTGACCGTACAACTTGTGGAGTGTAAATTTCAGTCATAATTCATCATAACACTACTGGAGCAAGGAGAACAACCCTTTAATAAAGTCCTAAAATGTGCTCATGGACGTGTGTAACCATTGAATTGAGAAATGGCAATGCCATATGATGAGACATAAGATATGTACTACAGAGAAACGGGAATTTCAACTGAAATAGTTATGTCTTTAAGAGGTACTTATTTGAAATCTTTCATTATTATACAACTAAAGATATAAAGTATGATACTCAATAAGATAATTACCAACCCGAGTCCCAAATACCATGAATGTAAGCAATAGGAGGTAACGCTACGGCCTTTTACATTGATAATGAGTAAAACTCACACTGTTTAATTAGCCATGACTAGCTCCGACAAGACAACGAAAAAAATGATTGAAAAAAAACCCTAAAAATGATTTTTGATGAAAGAATAAATAAAAACAAATATGACAGACAGAAACACTTGAAAACCGTACGTCAATTTCAAGAAAGGTCGGTCAAAGAATGAAGCAGACCTTCCTGTTTAAGTAGTATCCATTTTAGGGTCATCCAAAAATATGAAATGTATGAGATGCAAGGACGCAATAACATGTGTAAAACTGTGTGACAAAACAAACTGTGGAATAAAAACTTTGCAAAGATGTTTTTTTCTTTTTGCCTTTGAGAAGGTTTTGCGTTTCATTCTGTTTTATATTAATACGAAATCATCCGAGCCAATTGCACAACAAGTATCCATAGGAATATAAACAGAGTGTTTGAAGTATTTGATGCTACAGTCAGGGTTGTTGAAGTTGAACAAGACACTTGTATCTATGATATTATTTTTGCTGAACAAGCACTGTTTTAAGCGTATGTTTAATCGTTCTTTAGTTAGGCACGTGGGATAGAAAATCAAAAGTTTTATATCGATTGTGTTTGAGATTTTGGTCTATATTTTAAAGATTCATATTTGATTACCTTATCACACGATTTTCGATATATTTTACTGAAGAAAACATCCGGGTTTTGGAAAGTTGTTAAGTTAAATATTAAAGGACACTGCATGTCGGACGATAAAAAGAAGAGAGATTTTCAACGTCCTCTTTATGTAATGACCAAAGAATGGAAGAAGGACAGATTTATGATTTTTGAAAGTTGCCTCTTTCGAGTTTCCAATATTTTCTATGAATTGATAGCTCTTTTCTTATATAATAAAAATTACGATTTTTGCATATAAAATGATTTTGTTTGAAGGGTTTTCTGCTAGCACCAAAAAATTTTTGGATGACGTTCTCACAAACATAAATTCTTCCAACGGTTAAAAACCGTTTGTGCTCAGAGTAAAATGCTCAATGGGTTCAGGGTCAAAAAGCTTTACTTTAGTTAGATAAATTGACTAAATAAGTTTTTTTTTTATCTTTTAAGTACAATGTAAGCAGATATTGTTTTTTTTCACAAAGCTTTGATAGAAAATATCACTAATATTGATAGCATTCAAATACCTATTAGCAAAATTCTATCTAGTTGAAAAGAACACTGTATTTTTTTCTATCATATTGAAAGTAAAAGTCACTAGTTTGAATGGCCATAGATAATATTATATTAGCAAATATCTTTAATTATTGCAATTAGTCTATTCTTAGCAGAATCGGTATCAATAGAGGTAGTGTTCTGGATACTTGAAATAGTGAATTTAGATTTGTTTTCCTACCAATAGATATTATTTAATTACTCATTACAATTACATTAAACCTCTTTATTAGTTCGTGTAAAGCTGTGTTATTTGCCTTAATCTAACCTTCTTGGTTTATCTGGTAGTTTTGATATGATATCTAAGATAAACGTTATTGCACTAATATATAGTATAAAATATCATTATATGCCAAATGTGTTTAAATGGAATGATTGACAATACCTTCAAATAGTAAGTAAATAATATGACTTTAAGAGACCGATTCGAGTGCACAAGGTTTTTATTTATAAAAACACATTTGGTCTGTTATTGTATTAAGGATGATCGCTTTTTGTTTTCATTTTTTTTATGTTATTGAAATCTTTAATTTCGTTATTAAAAAAACAAACCATCAAGTATCAGTACTTTATCCTGGCCTTGTTAACTTAATTAATAACAACTGATTGCAGCTGCTAGTTTGTGTTAGAAATAAACCTTTATATGCAAAATTACATACTTAAGACCGTTATTATTTATTGTCTATATTACTGAAAATTTGATTTGTTTATGTAGATTATTTGCAGTTGACACATCTCTAGGCTACTCTAATCGTGACACTTCACAAATAAAATCAGTGATCAGTCACGACCTGAGTGGGCTTAGCAAGTGGTCTAAAAAAAATGGCTGATGTCCTTTAACCTACAAAAAAACAGAAATTATGTTGTTTTTATACATCGAAACTCCGGAAATGAATTTCACATTCAATGGTAAGAATATTCAAGTTGCAGAATTTAACAAACACATGGGTGTTACATTTAGTAGAGATGCTAAATGGAACACTCATGTCAAAAGTATCGTAAAAAATGTATCTACATATCTTCTATAAGGTTGTATGTAGACTTTGGCAAATCCACGAAATCAAATATCCATGAAAATGCAAGTTTTACTCAATCCACGAAAATTGGTAGCCACGAAAATAAATGAATCCATAGTATACCCTTTTTGTAGACTTTCATTGACCCAAGTCCTTCATATCTTCAACTATACGACTATGAAATAACCTTAATGTTATGACATGCAACATTAACTCTTTAAATAAATTTAAAACCGAATTAAAACATCTGACATCAAATTCAAAAGCCACAGTACTTAAACATTATGAATTTGTCAATCGTAAACTCAGCATCATTTTGACACAACCCTTTTTTGAATTATGATTTAACAGAGTCGATATCATTTCAGATCCGTCTTGTAGTTTTGGTGCTAAGCGTGAAGATTCGTATCACTTCTTTTTCTGTTGTTCTTATTATGCGAATATACGAATCAAACTATTCAACCATCTCTTTGAACTGGTTACCAGAGAACTCTCCACTAAACTTGAACAGCTGAACCTCCGGCGATACGCCATTAACTAATGTTGAAAATGAAAGAATTTTAAAGAATGTATATGAATTTATTATAGAGTCCAATTGTGTACAATCATTTACATCATCACACATCATCTTTTTACAGATCCAATAAATATAAAATTGAGAATGGAAATGGGAAATGTGTCAAAAAGACAACAACCCGATCAAAGAGTAAAAAAAACACATATGTATATATATATAAAATATAGTTTGCATGCATGCTTTGTAAATATTCTATTGTTATATAAATTGTACATGGGAGCAATCTATATAAGTTTGATTAACTTGTGTCTTATCCCTTTTGCATATTTAAGCAAATAAA